AAACTCTTCCATTGCCTAGCAATGATGCTGTATGTGAGCTTCGGTCAACTGTCATGTCAGCAGTTGGAGACCATTCTAGGAAAGAATGAGTTTGAAATATTCACAGTAGTATTGACAAGGAGAGAGAAGTTATAGTGAACAAGCAGAAATATGTCTGTGGAAGCTTACTTGGTGGTTTTGGAGTAGTGGTAGTTGTGATCAACGCTGATGTTGATGTTATTGTCATCGTGGTTGAAAGCTCCGATGTGATCGTAGTAGATATTTGTGGAGTCGGTGATGGAGTTGTTGTCGTGGTAGAAGTCGATAACACCGTTGTACTTGTTGTACTTGTTGTTGACTTCGCTGGTTTTAGAATAACAAATTTCAATAGTAATGACAAAGTTATTATAAAGATTGCCAAGACAAGAGAAATAGAGCTAATGACAATGCAACGACGTTGAAGACGACGAAATCTTATTTGATTTGTAATATTGATTCCGTCTAGTGCATGCCTTTCTTGTGTATCTTGTTGTTTTAGAGCTTTGAGCTGCAGCATCTTGTGTCCGTTTTCCACCTGAAAGCAATGAAAGGAAAAAATAAAACAGCAGGGTACTGATTGTTGAGAAGAGACAGGTGTATCTTTTATCTTTGTATCATCTATTTGTTGCGAAAAAGATATAGAACAGGTTGATGTTTTATTGTTAAAATTCTGTTTGTATGTCATCTCGTGTAACAACGAAGAATAAACAGGCGCAACAAACATGAATCGTTACACGATTCGTCGAACTCGCATGATTTCTCTTCGAACTAAGCCTATTTCGAAGCAATATAAGCTAAGGATTATCCGACAATCTGATAGGCCCTTCGTTTAGAAGTGATGAATTGACAATTTTCGTCGTAAGTTCCAATGAAACATTTGGGTCATAACCGATAATAGAAATTTTTGCAGCAGATTCACGATGAATGATAACAGATCAATCGTTAGCTGAGTCGCTGATATATAGAACATCATCATCATCAGTGATTGATATTCCGAATGGTCCATTACGTTCAAGAAGCGAGGAGCCTGCTATGCTGCTAGAGTTTTCTGCAATCGTAACGCCATTCGAATCCCAGGCAGCTTCCGACGACAATTCAATGCTACTACTACTATTACTACTAAAACACGCAAAACTTCATATCTCAAGTGCTCTAATATAATAAAACATCCATTATTATCGACATTTCCTTTCGGTCACTTATGTGTGAATGACATATTCACTCTATAATTCAATGGGTCTAAAGGTTCTCTGAGAAGAAAATTGTTTCCGAACTATGAGCAAACACTGCTATTTGTTAACGAACGATAGAATGTCAATCAAATATGCGATCTAGTCCAACATGAACAAATTGCATTTACCGTGACCATTGTGTAAATAGTTATATAAGATTTAAAGATATGAATTAATGAGTTAAGGTTTTTTTGTTAATTCTAGTTTAACGTAATTAAGCTAAGATGATGTTTCGGCTTTATCTAAATACGAAACTTCACGATGAACAAACTAGAGTGAATGTTTTCTTATCTACGGTCAAAAGAACAAGTTTTTCTGAAAGACTAAGTTTTCACATACAAAATCGCTTTAGTATTCTATTTCTACAAAGATTAAACGATTAACATAATTGCGCAACTCAAGTAGCAAAGATTAGTTTTTTCATAATTACTTTACTGACGTCACAATCGCAAAGCTAGAAAAATGACAACCAATTCATTAACTGGAAATTGAAAAGCATGTCTAAATTCTCTTGCAAATCTATATAAACCATGTATCCACATGCACTTACTGCAATCAAAGATGGCATAGATTTTAATTCTGTAGAAAAGTCTTTATCATACGGGTTTTCCAATACTAATTGCATTTGCTATTTGAACAAGCTTAGATCGTCATACAGCTTTGTGAAGCACAAACAGAAGAGAAGGCAACAATGTCAACATCACTTGCCATGATTAGTGTGCAAATCGCTCGTTTTACTCTTCCTGTGATTATTAGTTTTGGTATTGCAGGTAATTTACTGAATATTATTGTATTGACTCGACGTCGACTGTACAATAACGCATGTTCTCGATACTTTCTTGCCGCTGCTGTTAACAATCTGTTAGTTGTATGTCTTGTTCTCGTATATCGTTTCTTAATGAATGTATATCAAGTTGATCTGGGGACTTACTCCGAAATCTCATGTCGAATTATAAACTACATCATTACACTCACTTCATACATTTCTCCTTACTTGATCATCTCAGCTTCAATCGATCGATACTGCGCCAGTTCAATCAATGCTCGTATACGAAAATTTAGTTCTGTTCGTGTTAGCCAATGGGTCATCTTCATCATTCTCATAGCATACGCAGTTTTCTTCATCAACATCTTCTTCCTATACGATCTACACTCATCGAAAGGTTTTACTTGTGCTCTACAAGCAGACACTGTTTACAGTAGAATCTATGTCATTCTACAAGTTTTTCTCTATGCTTTGGCTCCGCCGTTTCTGATGATTCTATTCGGTGTTCGGACGATTCACAATATAAAGCGATCACGGTTATTGTCAGTAGTGATTTCACGATTTAATCGAACTGAACAACAACTGGCACGAATGTTAATATTTCAAGTATGTGTACACGTTTCGCTCACAATACCAGCAAGTGTTTTTTATCTTCTATCGGCTTTACCTAACGTGATCAGTCCAACATCTACTTACGTGTTTTTATCAACAATTGCTCTACTATTGTATTATTGTTCGTATAGTTCATCGTTCTTTTTATATTTTCTATCTGGTTCTATCTATAGACAAGAGCTACTCGAATTGTTTCATAAGATATTTCCAAATCGAGTAGGTAATCGGATAGTTCCTGTTGCGAATGTGACTCTTCACCCACTGAGAACGGTGGTATTCAATCAACGATCCGCTGTTTGATTCTTTCGTCTAAAATCGCGTATGATAAATTCGAATATAGACAGTGTGAAAAAATGAACATTCTCCGCCAGATATTTCCGTGGCAAAAATATAAATCATCATATGATGTAGATCAAACTTGACATAAGCTGCTTATTTTATAATGTAAATGAATAGTTTGTCCTTACTATGGATTGAACAACATGGATTATGTTCTCAAACTTATTTTTTCTCTCCATAAATAATAAATCGTCATTTTTATTCTTAAAAATGAAGCGCCATACGCTGTGCAGAATTGGAAAGGAAATCGCCGTGTTTGATATGTTAAAGTGTCAGTGGTTGTTTAATGTTCCTTTGTATTCGATAGTGAATGTGGAGGCACAGTTGCATTTTCCGCTTCTCACCCTTTCATTCAATTTATATAGAATTTATGAGCACTTTTACTTTTATTCAAACAATAATTGTCTCGTATCATTTACTTTCTTCCCACTTGCGAAGAAAAGTGTTACTTTCATCATAAGGTCTGACTTCCCACTTCCTTTTTTTTCTCAAAAAATACATTGTCTTGAAGTATTTTTTCCTTTTCTCTTTGCAAAAACTTAAACATCACCAAATATAAGTTTATAAAAAAATGCGAAGTAATAATGTAGACAAGAAAATTAAGAAAACTAAAGAAGAAAGAAAAGAAAAGAAGAGGACGAGAGGGAAGCCAGCATCAAATCAATCGAAACTCAATTGTTCACAGAGACAAAGAGAAAAATAACACAAAACATACTTTTCTGACAAATTCTCCCCGAAACAAAATATTTCTTCATTCTGATAAAAGTGTCACTCACACAATGTCGTACAACCAAGGACCGCCACCGTATGCTGCAGATCCACAATTCCCTCACTCAGTCCCGTACGCAAACACCCAAGGCCCACAGCCATATCCCACCCATCCACCCTATATGAATCCTCCATACGGCGGTGGTGGTGGCGCTCCGATTATCATTATGCAGCAGCAACAACAGCAACAGCAACAACAACAGCAGCAACATCAAGTGATTGTACGACGAGGAACTAACCACGGCTTGTGTTGTTTGATTTGTATTTTAACAGGCGGCTTGAATATCCCCTGTTGGATTTATGCTTGCTTGACTGACTGAAAGATGTATGAACAGATTCGATCCTTTATTTCGTTGATATTTATTTCATACGAAATCAATAATCCTGAATGTCGTAAATTCCTTAATAAAAAGCGATTAACTATAGTTCAAAAGCTGTTATCTGCCAAGAATTGTAAATTTAGGTCGTCGACAACTTCCTTCACAACTAAACGATTTGTTGTTGATGATCGATCAAATATTTGTTCAACGAATTGTAAATTTGACACGTAATCGAAAATAAAATCGATCTTCGCATGATATTTGTTCGCCAAATGTGTCGAAATAATCTTATGAGCTAAATCCTGACAGTACCCGGATCAATACTAATTGTTCATCTTCCGAATTAGTTTGGTATAATTTTGGAAAAGATTTAGCGAACAAACGGAATTGATTCAGGAATTCTTTAATTAATTGAAGTTCGTCTCCATTGAATAAAAATGCTGCTCTTCACACTTGTCTTTATAATGGCCTTAATCAATTTGTCCGCGTCTTTTTCACTTGAATAGTTACACACTAGTTTATGTAAATTATCCAATCGTTGATTGTTTTTCTCCTTGATGAAAACTTTCGCCATGAATTTCGAGGATAATTTACTGTAATAAATAAAAAGGATAGAGCCGTCAAGCTACTTCAATCAAACACAATCACCCCGCGATATTCGTTTGTGAGCATGTACTAGGACTCAAAGACGTAGTTTTCGTTATGACTTCTTCGTCTTCAGCTGGGGAGATACAAAAATTTGATATTCAAAATACTTGAAACAGTTCATACATTCAGAAGCTTTTCCGGTAAATTTCAACGGAGCCGAATTTGCCTTCGATGACATCTACAAAGAATAGTTATTTTCCTCATATGCAATGCTGCGTGTCTATTCTATAATCATTGTTTTATTTTAATTAATAAGACATGATTCATTGATTTATTTTCTCGGGACTATCTTCTACAGTAGGAATACAATTTTCGTAAATATAAAATTCACAGCTCGAACATAGTCCAGGCGATTGGTCACATGAGCAATGGCGAGGACTTTATCTAGCACATCCTCATCCGTCGTATTTGCGTTGTAAATGAAGAAAATCATTTCATTACCCAGAACTTACCTTCTTTGTTTACCTATGGTCGTCGAAAAAGTGTATTGTATCGATAGATAATCTCAAAGTTCGTTGTTTTTCTTTTATGGAAAAATTGGAAGAAAGATTTTTTAAATTCAAATGGAATCATTAGGTCATCATTTCGACATCGAAAATAGAGGTCAGAGCATCTATTCTCGAAATGAATAAAAAAGAATCATCTGTGAATTGAGTTCATGACGGTTTCGATTGGTGCAAACAAAACGCAACGCGATATCAGTCGATTATCAAATGATTTCTCTTAAAAACAGCAAAGTTCACTTATAATTTCGTATATTTCACAAAACGATCACAGAAAATGTCTCGTTGACGTTTAGTTCTTCTTTGGCGGAGGATAAAATGTAAAATCA